GCTTGGATGCTCTTTTCTTCATTGTTCATTTAAAATGATAAATGTGGTGCATGAAAAAATTATTTTTAACCATCAGGTGATGGTTTTTTTTTTTTACTTATTTATTAAACTCGAAATATTCATATTTCTTATTTAATTTTTTCGATATAGCTTATTTATAATCTGTTGCATTTTAGTCTTTAATTTGATGCATTCCATTATTTATTGTTTATATTTCCAATGCATTGAAAATTTACATTCATCTGCTGATTTTAATTTCTATTTCTAATTTTGCAAACTTTATTTTTTCAATTCTTTAGTTGATAATCTGTCCAATAAATATTGGTCATTTGAGGAGTCTCTTTTGCATGCATATAATGTTATACCAGTCTCTGTTTTTTTGGTATGACCAAAAGAATATAGATTTTAATGGTTAAGAGGTTTAATTTTATTAAAATGATAAATTTGTGGTGCATGAAAAAATTATTTTTAACCATTAGGTAATGGGTTTTTTTTTTTTTACTTATTTATTAAATTTGAAATATTCATATTTATTATTGAAATTTTTTATGTCGTCTATTTATAGTCTATTTCATTCCAATCTTTAATCTGATGCATTCCACTATTTATTGTTTTATATTTCTAATGCATTGAAAATTTACATTCATCTGCTGATTTTAATTTTTATTTTTAATTCTGTGGACTTTATTTTTCCAATTTTTTTTGATAATCTGTCCAATAAATATTAGTCATTTGAAGGGTTTATTAACCATTAGGTGATGTGTATTTTTGTTATTTATTTATTAAATTTGAAATTCAAAATATTCATATTTATTATTGAATTTTTTTTATGTAGTCTATTTATAGTCTATTGCATTCTAATTTTAAATATGATATATTCCACTATTTATTGTTTTATATTTCCAATGCATTGAAATTTACATTCATCTGCTGATTTTAATTTCTATTTCTAATTTCGTGGACTTTATTTTTTCAATTTTTTTTAATAATCTGTCTAATAAATATTAGTCATTTCAATGCTCTATTGACCATTAGGTGATGAGTTTTTTTGTTATTTATTTATTAAATTCGAAATTCAAAATATTCATATTTATTATTGAATTTTTTTATGTAGTCTATTTATAGTCCATTGCATTTCAATCTTTAATCTGATATATTCCACTATTTATTATTTTATATTTCCAATGCATTGAAAGTTTACCTTCATCTTCTGATTTTAATTTCTATTTTTAATTCTGTGGACTTTATTTTTTTAATTTTTTTTATAATCTGTTCAATAAATATTAGTCATTTGAAGGGTCTATTCTCCATGCATATATAATGTTATACCAATCCTTTTTTTTTTTTTCAAGTATCAGAGAGAGAACATATAGATGGCTAATATGTTTGATTTTATTAAGAATCTTAATCCTTCTAAAGAGCAATGGAGGATAAAGGTTAGAGTAATTCGACTTTGGAAGCAAAAAAATTTTCGATAGTCAAAACTGGGTGATAATATTGAAATGCTCCTTTTGGATGAACATGTCAGAATTTTGTGTTCTTGAATTTGGTTTTCAATAAGTATTCTAAAGTTTGCTTTTCACATCTCTTCTAACATTTTTTTATGTTTTGTTTACGGGGGGAGAATTCAAGCAACTCTTAGGGCTTCTTTGCGTTTTAAGGATGCTTTTACTGAAGGAGGAGTTTATACAATTTCGAATTTTGGTGTTTCTTTGAATAAAGATCCTTATAAGCCAACCACACATAAATACAAGATTGTTTTTAATCCTAGAACTGCTCACAGTTTGCTTAATGATTCCAACATCCCTAATTATGCATTTTCTTTCGTTGAGTTTGATAAGATTTTAAACCAAACTCAAGAAAATGCTTTTTTAGTTGGTATATTTATTATAGAATAATTTCATTATTTTGTCTTAATTTATTCAATTAAATTGCAGGTTTACTTTGGATTTTACATTAAA